CAAACGAACAACTTTCAGCGGTCGGAAAGTAAGGTTGTAGCGATAAAAAGGATTGAAAATAACACGGAACATCGCGTTCAGCTGATTCAGTTTGTAGAGTGGTCGATGCAAGACTGCCACTGGTAAGAAATATTTAGGCAGCTCTTTCAGTTGTCACTTTTACTGTTCACATTTTGACTTCAATGGCGAACCTGTAAACTAGCTAATTACATTTATGCAAAATAGCTGGGCGTATTGCGCGCCACAAATATACATTGATCGATAGATTGATAATTGTGTTGTAAAATAACAGGTTAACAAAACAACGCAGCCGTTTCCTTCTTCCTATCTCAATAGAGAGCTTAAGCGATGACTAAGGCGACCCCGAGGACAACGCCTAGAAAAGAAATAAATTTTTATTTTACCTTTGAATTTCGCAATTGTCTAGAGCTGTTCAGGGCGCCTATTGGTCTCAGAACTTACTTAAAATGTAACGCCAGCGTTAAATTCCAAATGAAAATACGAAAAATTAGCCGCCGTCGTTCGTGTTCTCTAAAATACGCAGAACTTAGTCATTTCACGTTGTTGTTTTGCAGGGGACAGTTACGAAACAAACAAATGTTAATAACGCACGTGCGCAGTCATTGTTTTGCTCATTAAATCTTTTGTTTGGTGACGTTCTGGTTACCGATGCCGCCGTGATTTTCCTAAGCTCCCGAAAAGTGTAACAATTAAAACCTCTCCAAAACCTTGCCAACAGCCAATCAAAGATACGAAAAAAAAAAACATATGTTTCGGTTCATAAGGCTACCATCATTACACTGAGATTGCAAGTTACAAGTTGTAAGTCCGTGTGGTTAAGGTAACGGACCATTACAGCAAAAACTAGACTAACACAAAGCGGAGTGTATTTCTCTGAAAAAACCGAGGTAAAAATTGCATTTCATATGAATAACTCTAAACATTTAAAAGCCGAGTTTTCAACAGACCGCGCGACTTCCACTCGAGTTCCAAGAGAACTGGCAATATTTGTCGTCACATTTGTTGGAATCAACATTTTGGTGGCGACAATCAGTAACGTTAGCTTGTTGATCGTGCTAAGACGACGACGAGATCTTCGTAAAGCTCCTCACTATTTGCTCGGCAACCTGGCTCTGACCGGTCTGTTAGCAGCGCTTTCTAACATGCCTTTGCTAATAGGCGTGACAGCTGTCAACTACTTTGAAATGAATACCGAAGTGCCGGCAGCAGTTGAGGTATTTTGTAAAGTTAGTTTTTCTTCAAGTTTTGCATTTCTTGTGCTCACAGATCTGACTTTGTTTCTGATGGCCTTTGATCGCCAAGACTGCGTCCTCCGCCCTTTAAATAGACGCATAACACAAAGCAAGGTGAAGAAAATCATTCCACTGACTTGGATTTTATCTCTGCTTACTGCTGCCTTCTTCGCCATTGCGATAAGAAATGAAAGCGCTGCATGCATTAAGTTTTATCCTTACAACAACGTCGCCAGACTTCCTAGCGTTCTCCTCGCTGCAATAGCAGTCGTTGCACAACTCGACACTTTAACTGTCTTGTTCATACTGGTGACTGCCTTTCGCACCGTAAAACAATTGCGTTCTGCTGAGGTTAGTCCCTTAAATTCAGCTCACCAGCGCCAAGAGAAGAAAGTCATCAGGGACACCTGCAAAATCTGTACTGTGTTCCTGTTATTCAGAGTACCGATTAACGTGTCACTTTGTGGCCAATATCGGAGGTTATCGCGGACCCACAACTAACTCTGCAATGCTTGTGACCGTCACACTGGCGGCTTCCTTGTACGTGGCGATTCCTTTTCTCCACCACGAAATGCTGCAAGTCAGGCCACCTAATCAACAACAGACCAATCAACAATCCACGGACCAACCTAGAGTTACCGCTTGGAGAGCGAGAGTGAGACCGGAGATCATTAGCTTCAATTAACTCGATCTGTCCGAATTAATCCGCAATAAGCCAACAAAAACTTGCATCAATGAAAAAAAAAAAAAACTGATTGTCTGTTTTACGAGTTAACCTAGCAGTTAATCACGCCTTGGAGATGAAATAAATTGAAGGAACTTCAATAGCAGTCAGGGCGTCGATTTTAACATTAATTCTCTCATTTATAAATAGAATTCATAAGTAATAAATGCGAGTTGGTTATTCCATTGTAAATTCAAATTGATTCAGTTTCGGCAATACAGAGGTTAATCAAAGACTGATTTTCTCTCTGCGATTTGCCCACATGATTGGACCCAAATCTTTGAAGTATCCACTTTTCATCCAGTCAGAGGTAAAACCAAAACCAATCGTACCTCGTTCGCACATTTTTCCCGCGCTTTAGAGCGGTTTCCAATAGAGTGTCGTAAAACCAAAACCAAAGCAATCACCCTGGCCAATCACAAAGGACACAGACAATCCAGTGAGCCAATCAAAACTCGAAGTAATTACATGTAGCTGACGCAAAGCGCGGCGGGAAAACGCGTGCGAACGAGTCGCGATTGGTTTGGGTTTTACTCCTGATTGGACGACATTTTGGCGCGAGTTTTTTAATCCAATCGTGTAGCGTAATAAGTGCAAAACCAATTACGTTTCGACACCCAAATGAAAACCGCTGTACATCAGCTACATGTACCTATTTCAGTTTTAATAGGCCACGTTCGATATATCAATATTCTAACATGGCTCCGAGGCTTTCAAGTCAGTCTTCCATATTTGGTGTTGTTTTCTTTGTATCCAAGTCTCTTTGGGGAATTGACGGATCAAAGAAATTTGAAAAATTTGCAATTTTGACCCGAAAGCCTCGGAGCCATGTTAGAATATTGATATATCGAACGTGGCCTATTGGTTCATAGAGTTGACTTTGTTCTTTGTGATTGGTTAGCGATTTCTTTGGTTTTACGACACTCCTTTGAAAACCGCTCTAATAGCGTAACACTTACAGTAAAAGCTCTCAAACAATTGGACAAGTAGACGAAACAAAAAATAGATTCCAGTTTTAAAAGAAAAAAGTGCCTTTCACAGGTAACAATTAAAGTCAAAATATTCAAGGTGGGAAAATGAAATGTTTATATTTACATTTTCTTTACAGACTAACTTCTTCCTCTGGGAAAATGCCAAAAAAAATTCTTATTTTTGAATCGTGCCAATCAACTGTGCGTTAATGTTGTTTTAAGAAGAAGAAAGAAGTTGCAAACTAGCAGATAAGCCGCTCAAAGCAAGTATTAAAGGCTGTTTGTTGCCTTCTCAAAAGCACACATCTGAAACCTCTCCAAACGCTCCCAGCGGAAAAATTAGCAAAACAAAAACAAAAAGAATAGAGAAAAGAGACACTTTGCAAAAATGACTTCATATAAAATTATTTTGAGAAAACTTAAGAATTTTCAAAAGTTATTACTGCTTGGTTTTGTAAGATTGTGCCTGACGATGAAAAACATTAAGATAAGAGAAAACAGGGGAACGATCGCGTTGAATTCATTTGAAAATTTCTTCAGTGAAACTTCATTCTCGACACCAGAGTGCTGGTTATAACAAAAAGTAAGGTCAGCCTTGGCCGTAGCTAGCCTCCTACGCAGACGCTCTATGGGCTCGTCACGCAATCTTTGCCTGTCTTCGTCTTAGAAGATTCTATTGGTGGTCACAGGGTTGTAAGTTTTAAGAAAGAATCCGCCAGAAGTTCGAGTAACAAATGGAAAAAAAACGTTGTACCAAGATTACTTTACATGGTATTGCAAACTTCTGTGCGACTGTTTTAAACATCGTTTCATAAGAAAACATTCCTAACCGCACCAAATGTCGAAAACAAATCAGTTTTGAAGTTCATACGAAACACTTAAAATACTGGCCAGATGAAACTGACAATGAAATTTTACCTACGTTTGGACAGTTTTTCTGAACTTTGAATTTTGTTTTCTCGAGTTCCTGTGGGTAATTATTTTCGGTGTTATTTCAAGCAACTATTCATATCTTTAGCTTTTAGAAAATGCAAAAAGGACAGTAATATACTTAAAATTATTCTGGTACAAGGTTTCTGTCCACTAACAACTGAAATTGCTTGACTTCCTATCGGATTTCGTCTTAAGCTGTCAGTTAAATATATGAGGAGTATACAAGACTTGTAGGACTACAGTAGAAACTCGCGCGGGCGCATATTTTGCGTGCGTGGTGTATTCGCGTCGCGCACGTGTTACCTCGCAATATTCATTAGGATCAACTGGGCTGGAAATAGTCTTTTTGTCGTACATTATAGCGCTACTCCCTAAATATTTCTTTTCTCCACTCACCTGCTTCTAAGCTTTGTTTGGACCCAAAATCGTCGATGATAAAGAGCACTAATTTCCTTCAAAAGGATAACTAAGGCTAACAATCTGAAATTAAGCAAACCCGACAAATTATTATGAGAAAAATGACTTAATTATTAATAATTATGCTGTGTCAAAAAGCACGTGACTACCTCAGAGCATATAAGTCAAATTATTCTCGCATTTTGATTGGTTCTTACTCATGATTTATTGGACAAGAGACGCATACATGACGTCACTAACATTTTTTTGCTTCTTTATCTAAAACAAGTAGATTCCATGTTGCCGTGCGTCTGTTCAGTAATAGATCACAGAAGACGTCAAAATGTGGTAAGAACATCAGTGATACACTCGGCTATCGCCTCGTGTGCCAGACTTCTGTTCTTACCACATTTTGAAGTCATCTGTGATTCTGCTAAACACAACAGGTTTGCAGTTATTTAATGCCGTTTTGTCTTCACAATGCTGCTGTCTTATCACACTCAACGCACTTGTAAAGCTCACCTATGTACAAGTCCCTTTAACATCATGGCCGAAGCTTGTGCTGGGGACAAATTGATAAATCTCAAAAATGAGAAGCAGTTACTCGGAGGACCTAAAGAAAAAACAAAGAAACAAACAAGAAATATTTCAGAGGCATTAAACCGTTTTGCAGGTTTTTTAAGGCAAAGCTCAACCTTTGTCAACTAATGATCTCATTGGTAAGTCAGTTGATGGAACGCCACTCAGTCAGTTCGAAAGAAGGATAGCGACCCAGCTGGCCAGCTAGCCAGGGAGTCACTCACTCCGTCAAACAGTCAATATATACGAGTTATTGGCCAAGCATGAGGTCAAAATGGTACGTTTATGGAGCAAGATGAAGTCGAAGCCCATAAATGGAGACTTCTAGATCCGAATTTCCTGTAAACGGCGAACCGATAGGGGTCACGTGACCAGAGGCACACGTCATGTTTGAGGTTTTTAAAGGCGTTTTGAACGTCAAAAGTTTTCACGTAGGTCATTGACCTCAAGCTTTATAGGCGAATAAGCAATTACCTAGCCTTTTGTTTTGTTTGTAGAACTACATTGATCCTCAGTGGAAACCCAATGTGGCGACGGCTTAAAAGTTGAATGTGTTTCATGATGCTTTGTTGATTTAAAAAGGTTCACATGCTAGAAAATATACTTTTTCTACAGAACTGCAGTAATTTTTGCAATTTCCAATGCATTGACGGGATGATTTCTATTCGCTCCAATTTACTCCAATCTAAATTAAATCGGCTAACGTCCGATTGGCGAATGGCAAACTTCTAACCCCAAACCGTAATATATATGGACTGTTTGTTTTAACCCCAAACCTCCCAGACCGTATGACAACAATAACATCAAAAGCTCCTGCTGTGGACCTTTTGAGGCTGAACACCCAAAGAGGTTTCAAACGCACCTTTTTAACCCCTAAAAGATACGACAAGCACTCCCGTCCTTTTTCTATGGGAGTCCCCCCCCCCGGGGACGCCTTTATGGCCTCTAGAAACTAATACCTTTGCCCAGGCTGGGGACTTGGCTCATCTTGCCGGCTTAGAGCTAGCTATATAACAAGTAACCTGTGAAGGTTGAAAACCATATTAGCCACAGGGTTAAAAGAAGGTTCCTTACCTGCAGATGCATGCGTACGATCAGCATACAAAGACTGGTGAATGTATTGCTCAGTGCCAATGTTCAGTAGGTTATACAGGATTCTGAAACAAACGCAGAGCATTAAATATGGGTTGCTGACCAAGCACGAGGTCAAGATGGTTGGATATAAGCCAATTTCCTTTTTTGCGAGTTTATGGATGGAGTCGAGGATGGAGCCGAGTCGAGGTCCATAGACACGCAAAAAAAAAGGAAACCAATATCCAACCATCTTGAGCAAACAAGCTTGGTCAATAAAGGATTTATTATATGAATAAAGAACGCTATTTTCTTGCGGGACACAGATGTCTGCTGCAACTGTAGCCTTGTGTCTCTTAGGAACCGATGTGTTTCCATCGAACCTCAACGCGCTAGGTTTGTGAAAATTATCCACGTTTAAATACGCCCTCCTGAACACGATGCGAGGTCACGCACAACTTCCTACCGTGACAGACGTAAGAAACGTAATTAACCACACTTTAAACAACTAGAAATCTCAACTTACTTGGTCCTACATGGTGTCGAGGACTCCAAAATTCCTGAAACGAGAAAATCGCACAAAATATAAATTAAGGTGAAATGTTAACCTAGGGACTGCACATAGTTTCCACATAATACGCACGATAAAGATAGCTATCCATGAACCACTGATGTATAATTCCAAGATTATTATCAATATCTCTACCTCTAAAATACAAACAGCTCCTCAATATAGAAACTTCTATATTACAAACAGTTTACTTTCCAGAGACCCGGGGGGTGGGAAACTCCCTATACAGGGAGGTTCCGTCCAAAAGGGCTACCTTTGTCAGGCTTCAGGCATACAAAAGGGTAGGGATTTCATGTAGTTATTTTAAAGGGCCTTAATTAAAATATTTCGAACAGACGAAACCTTATGGCAGAGTCATTTAATTTATTAAGCAATACGTGAAAATGACAAAATTTCCTTTGTTGGGCAATTCATTCATGATACGGGCCGGTTATGAAACATGTGAAAGGGGTAACCTTTTTTCAAAATGGTATACGAAAGGGTAAGGGAATGGATCTCGGGGCGGAGCCTGCTCATATGAAACTTTGCAGAGTACCCCTCCCTCCTCCCTCCCCCCTCCCCCGCCAGAGACACTTCTACCATTACAATACAGACAGCTCCATAACACGGTTGCTCTGGCTGTTAGATGTCCGTATTAAAGAGGTTCAACTGTATTGCTACTCCCTCAGGATGGGATGCTAGTCCATCACAGGGTGTTCCCCTACCTTCCTCCCCCAACGTTTTTTGGGGGTTTCCCTAAAGGGTTGTTAATTCAAGTCAGGCACTTCAACCATGTCATAATGAAAATCCTTTTCGTTACCTTCTCTGTAGATCAGCTTGGGGAGATGGAATGTCGGAATCTCCACATGAATTGGCGAGCGGACATCCCTTCTCTCAAACAGTTCAGGATGGTTACAGACCTAGGCAACGTTAAAAGACAAACTTGCACAGTTGTATTTCTATCTATTGCATTTTAAAACAATGGAGTACTGGTGAAAATGTTTTAATAAATCTCTTGTCAAGTACTTCACATTAAAACCAAGCTTACAGATCAAAACTTAACAACAAAATATAAACAAAAATAAATCAATTCATTAAGGTTTGAATATTTAGTGCTGCTGTGCTTAGTGGGGACACTGAATAAACAGACCATACAGTATTGAAAATCCCCCCCCCCTCAAAAAAAAAACATCAATGTCGCCAACACTTTTGCAAAGTCTTGTTGTTACCGACACCGTCATCATCAACATTATCATCATCTTTTTCCACATAAGTAGGAACAGAAAGCCTCGAACTCCTGTTACAATCCTTTACTTAACTATTTTATTCCATGAATGATGGGAACAACCTATGCATTCATTAAGTCTACAGTACACACTTTATACACTGTCATTAATTTTTCTCTGAAGAACAAATGGTGAGAACATTGGTAAATCCGAATGCCTTCTGTTACCTTCCTAAACTGCATGACTAAATTCATCAGGCTGCTCGTTGTAGCATTAGTGGATGATGATGACGTTGAAGTGTAAACAAGATCGTCAATGGATATTTTGTTTTTCACTGCTTGGTAAAGCCAGCGCTGTCTCGTTGTTAAATGACACACTAGTTTGATCTCGATCTGAAATTAAGGAAGGAAGGAAGGACAAGAATCAAAGATGGTTGCAATAATCACTTTTAACTAATCAAAGTCACAACGTTGAAATATCTTTTTAGAAAGGTTTTCGATTGAGTGTCATCAAACCAAAACCAAAATAACTACTTGCCAGTCAAGGCTATTCAGCCAATCTCAAACTGTACTAAAACCAAAACAAAACCAAAGTAATTTCCTGATTATTTAGATGCTCAATTGAAAACAGCTCTAACATGTTACAAAAACAAATAATAAATGACTTAAAGCAATCTAGCACAGCTCAGTGCTGTGCAAACTATATGTAAGTACCTTAAGAAATAAAAATATAGTGCAAAAAGAACAGAAAGTTGGTAGGTAACCATTTAAAGAAAGGAGTCGAGGAGTCAAATTCATGGCTACTGATAAAATCAAACCATTTGGCTTTGTCACATCCCTATTGTTTTCAGAGCTTGTTTTCTATTTACACTGTTGTGGTGCTTACTTCACACCGTTTTTTCCTTTTTCAATTTCATTTTCTCTTATATCATCCAATCAAAGTTAATGTGATAATAACAACTTTCACTGCCTTCAAATCAAAGGCTAAATACTCCCAACTGACATCCATTGCTGTTGTCAGGGGTGAATGCTGTTAGAATCGAGTTTGTCTTTAATGTAACAGAAGGTTGTCCCAAGTGGCAAAGTTATCAAGAGTAGATAGGTTTTTGAAATGTTATCATTGTAATAACCAGTTCTTTCTCAGTATACAACAGATACCTTTTCAGAAAGCTCATTTTCCACATCACGTTTTATTCTCCTCAACATGAAGGGTTTCAAGATCATGTGAAGTCTGGAAAGCTGGTCTGAAATAAAACAACATTCTGATTACATCCTTAAATCCCTTAACCCTTTTATAAGAAATTTATTTTTATAACAGGAGCATCATGATACATCAACCAATTTAACTGGAAAAGTATCCCTGAAACTTTTAAATTCCATCATTGTCTAACAGTAACAACACTACACTTAAAAGCCTACATAACAAATGTCATTTGATTCATTAGCATGGTCAGAGATTAGAGTTTCATCCCAGATGTTTTGAAGGACTAGTCTTATGCATAGTTTATAGAGGAAATGGTTATGAAACCTGGCAAAGTTCTTTTTTTGTATGTTTTTGTTGGCTGATTGGGGATTTACCCTGCACAAAACCTGGCAAAATACAAAAGGTGGTTATACGTGCTCATACAACTAGCCAATAGAAGCATTGAGATTATGTAATTCATGCATAGTCAACGAGCATAAAACAAAAGATGTGCAGGGTCCAGGACATTCCAACATAAATCTTAGTCTGTTTGTTTGCTTCTCTGATGTTTACCGGGCTTCTTATCCATTCCTCCTATTAACTATGTCTTACGTCTCCTTTTCATTGGCACACAGTTAACATTTGTATGTGAAACTGATACAATTGTTTAATACTGAGAAACTTGAGTTACCAGTATTCTTTTAGTCCAATCCAAAAATGTAAGAGTTACCAATATCTTTCAGCCACACAAGGTCATCACAGAAATTTCCATTCCTAAGAGAAGGCTTTCCCCCTCCTTCTCATGATTATACCTGAATAACCCCTCACCACTGGTCCTTTCACTTTGTATGTTTGTTATCAGTATTGTTTTAAGGCAAGATGAGAACAGTGTTCACAGAAATACTTTACCTTGGTCAATGGCTGATTTGTTTTCAGCATGATTTTCAATGTCCTTTGAGAACCATTCATTAAATTCTTCATGAGAATCGAAGAGAGTTGGCATGATGAAGTGAAGCAATGCCCACAACTATTATCAAAAACATTCAAATACAAATCATCAAACAGACAACCAATATTACATCCATTAGACTAAATCATAAACTGTGACTTTCTTTGGCAATCCACTTCAATCTTTAATCATTAATATTTCTTTATACACGGTAAAAAATCATCAGGATTTACAAATGCAATGAATATATCATTGCATAATACCAGCATAATACCAATATATGCCAGTATGGGATCATGCAAACAGCTAGTGGATCGAAATTTAATTATCACAAATAACCAACCATGGCACACAACAAGACGACAGCCTATCCAACTTGAAGTATTTAAAACTAAAAGCCAAATGAAGTTAAACCAGCACAAACCTCAGCCATACTGTTTTGAATAGGCGTGCCTGTCAAAAGAAGTCTGTTCCTGCATAAGAAACCAAGGAGTATCTTCCATCGCACACTGTTATAGAAAGAACAAAGCAAAAGAGATTAAGTTCAAATTTATGCACCACTGCACAAACCTTTTATAATCTTGTCCTCTTTTTGCATTTCAAATTTCCATGTCATATAATATCAAGTACATGCTTTTTGGAAGCATACACTTGCAGGTTCAAAGCAATCAACTATGTATATTGCATCTTGTGTACCTGGAACTGCTTTTGATTGCCTGTGCTTCATCCAGTACTAAGTACTGCCACTTGATGCGCTGGAAATAACGCACATCTTGCACAACCTGATGATCAGATACAATCAATCAATCAATCAATCAATCAATCAATCAATCAATCAGTCAATCAATCAAAATCAGTTACATTTGTTTATTAATTAGAAAAGAGAAAACTACATCTAATTTACTACTGACAGTAGTTTACAGCAGCACAAGGCAAGAAAAAAATTCTTTCTCACCAGCTGGTAGCTTGTAATAAGCACATGGAATGGAGCATTCTCATAGTCATTTATGTGGACTTGGTTCTAAACGGAAAGAGAGAATACAATTTTAATTCACATTAGCTACTGTTAGTGAGTTACTTGTGTTTACTATCAGACTGTCCCTAATGGCTTGTAACCAGTGGCTAAAATAATTTAAACTTTGCAGCTCTGTACCTGAGTCCAGTATTTTCTCAGTGACTTTCTGTCACCCTGGTTTCCCCAGTAAGGCAACACCTGGAAGAAATGTACAAAGATTTTGGAACATTAGTGACATAAAATTGAGACAGTGTGCACTCACACATTACACTGCAGACTGTTGTCTGTGACTGCAGCTGTTCTAGTTAAACTGTTGTGGAACCCATAGGACAGACAGTGGGGGTAAAGGAGACTACCTTGTGACATGTTCAGACTGAATCCTGGCTTGCCTTGAACAGGTCAGTCTCCTGCCAGTCTCTGTCCACAGCTATCTACAATGCCAACTGAACATAAACTAATTCTACACACCTTGAACTGAGGAATGAATCTGCTGACTTCTTGCTGCCAGTTGTGCAGTGTAGAGGCAGGTGCCACCACAAGAAAAGGACCCCAGATGTTGTGTGTCTATAAGAATGAAACACCATATGGTTGACTACATGCACTTGTTACATTTCACAAAGACAATTTCCAGAAATTCAAGATTTCGTGCATTCTGGACCAATATTTTTGTTTTCTGACAAAGCTTTCAAAGAAACTTGAACAAGTCAGAAGGTCATTGATTTTCCACCAACATCAGAAATTAACGGAACAGACAGCAGCTTGTGATACTGCAACTACAGTGGCTTTACAAACAGTTCCCTTTCCTAATCCCTTTCCTAATGCTAGTGTAGCATCCATACAATGTACTTTGCATACCAATTCTGTTGACTTGGGAAGGTAAAGGTACAGCTGAGTGGATAGAGGCATTATGAGAGTAAAGTATCTTGCCGAAAAATACAATGCAATGACCCCCGTCAGGGCTTGAACTTGATCTGGAGTCCTCCATACTCATGATTAGGTCACATGTTTTCCTTGCAAAAACTCTAAATACAATTTAGTTTTAATAGCCCCAGGGGGAAAAATTAGAATTATATTTCTCAAATTGAGGTATTTCATTGTAGCTGTAACACAAAACCTGCTCAGATTGTACTGCAACCACAAATAATAAACCCCTTGTTCTGAGAAACATTGCACATACTTTTACAGTATTGGCAAGTTAAAGACTTAACCATGCGTTACCAAGAGAACAGAGCCACAATGATCACAAAAAACTCACTTCTGCTAGGTATGAGAGAAAGGCTATGGACTGAACAGTTTTTCCTAGACCCATCTCATCAGCTAGTATGCCGTTGATACCCTGTAAAACAGACAGAAATTATCAACTTGTGAAGTGTAGTCTATTATTGATAGTGATGAGCAGGAAAACTTCACACAATGTTCTGTCAAACCATTCATGGCTACCACATGAAAGAAGACACTACCATGCACACAAAAGCCAGAGATTTCTCTCTCTATGCTTATGTACATGCAAAGTTTTGCACCATAGATTTCTGTTAGAATACACTACACTGAAACTAGCTGAAACAAACCCCTAGTATTGGAAGATAATGCGACTTACTTGTTCATAGAGGTTGATAAGCCAGTTCATTCCCTACAACATGAAAACACTACATTAGGGCTGACGAAATCACTTTAAACATTTCTAAACACTAATACCATTTTTAACCAAACAAAAACATCAAATTGACCTACATGTAATTGATCTCTTACAGTCAAACCACGTGAAGCGTACCCCTCCAGGTTACATTAATGAATTGATTATTTGAAAATTGAACCCACTAATCGTTTCAAGAATGCAATAATGAACTGATTATTTGAATATTGAACTGCTAGTCATTTCAAAATCAATATTAAATTGACTTTTTTGAACATTACACCCATCAGCTGTATTCTTGGAACACCTGGTGGGTTCAATTTTCCAATAATCAATTCATTATTGCATTCTTGAAATGACTAGCAGGTTCAATATTCAAATAATCAATTCATTAATGCAACCTTGAAGGGTACGGTTCACTTGGTTTGACTGTAAGAGACCTGACCGTCCAGTTATATACTTAATCAGAGAAGCTTAAGTAAATTTATTATATCACTCATCAAAACTTTTGTTTCATTTCATCTCAGCTAATTTGCAAACAGTCTTTTAGGCTGCTCAAAAACCAATCCCACCAATGCCCCCCCTCCTCCCCTCCCCAAGAGATGCATTCTCCAAGTTACTTTCATCATCATCATCGTCACCATTTCCAGTTCCTCAACCAAGAAACAGGCCCCAGTTTTTGTAAGCCCACTTCAAAACTTTGAATTATATCCAGCTAATAACCAGCATTTTACAGTATACTGCATGTCACAAATAGTTTCTATTAATTTTTTAATAGCTTTGTAACTTCTTTAATTTTTTTTTT